CCCAGTAGCCAAAAACGTGCAACTTATTACATCGGTTATAAAGACACCTACCCTTAACTCATTCTGCTTACCATCTGGGTCGGGTGCCTCGATTGGATAAAGGCAACTCGAGCATAGGAACTCCGAATGCGGAAATTGGGGACTATTGTCTAGAGTAGACTCGTCTCATCAAATTTGGCTATGCTTTCCAAATGTTTAACAAGAGAAACTCAATTTGACCGATCGTCTTATAACTTAAACATACTATAGAGCATTTTATCGAGTAGTTTGGCCCGGCTTTCGACAAGTTAACACTCAAAAGATTGACTTAGTTATATTCCTATTATTTTTTTTTTATTTTGGGACTGCTTTTCTGAGTAGTAAGGCCCTAATTTTCGAATTGTTGGCTGGCCTTAGCTCAACTCATCTGTCCCCTGCCGAAGTGAATTGGATTTCGAGATTTTCTTGCGAATACTTTATCTCTGCATTTAGTATATCTGACCAGTTTATGCTACATTCAACGATTCACTGCAAAATTTAATCTCGAGTTTTGCACAGGATATTACATAATTTAGCTTGGCCCTCGTTATAAGTAACATGCAGAAGCTCAACTTATTAATTTTCTGTCAAAATGAAATGAAATTTGAGATTTGTTCCTGACAAATTTGGCCTGTTTTCTGTATTACGGACTGCACCAATCTCAACCTTTTTCTTTTCCGACAAATAAGCAAGGTTTTTTTTCTTTATAATAAAATTGGTAATGTCTCGCCTGAATGAATACTTATTCCAAGTTTCTTTACTATTTGAAGTTGCCCTTTCCTGGAATAGGTCACACTTAGGATGAGACTAATTTTGTGTTAAAAATTTTGAGATTTTAAATAATGACGTGTTTAATAATCATGCAATCGGGATGGTGCATAAATGCCGCGAACTAAGTTTTAGAGAGAGCTAAAAGAAGTTTGATTGCGCTAGAAAGTAAAGGCTAGCAAATCAGCTTATAAATGGAGGTCAATGCTGCGAAGTTCATTCGAACCACATATTAAAGGAGGGAATCAAGTGCCTGAGAATAAAATAGCAGAGGAAGCAAGAACTTTAGTCAAGCTGACCTCCAATGCCACTCAATGCACATTGGTAACAGAGGTAAATCTCTTTAAGATAAAGTGAATGGCTAGATGACTTGAGATTGAATCATACCTATCTAAAGCAAAAGTTATTTCAAATAGTAAACCGTCAACGCAAATATCTTAATACAAAAGCC